TTTTCTCGAATTATAGATTCAAGTTTTGATGTAATTTGTTTTGGTGCAACCGTATATGAGAACACATAATCTATACAGTTCAAGAAAAGCCAAATTATATGCGTTTAATGTAGCTTAATGAATGGAGTTGTTTTGCTAACTCTGAGAATTCAGATCAGCATGAGTTAACCTTTGTTTTGTAATTTCTCTACTGCGTGCGATTTTTGCCTGATTTATGTTGACGTTTTTACCTCGCGTTTTGATTGATATTTTATTTATTTATATTATCTGGAATAATTTAGTACCTAAAGGTTTTTAAATTCTTGTCAACTGAATATATATTGTAACCACTAATGGTTTTCTTCATTGATCTGTTTGGTATTTTTGTGTTAACTCTGTAAGTAATAACACCTGAAAATTTGGCAGTGACAGCTTGAAATGGGTAAGGAAAAGGTTCACATCAACATTGTGGTTATTGGCCATGTCGACTCTGGGAAGTCAACCACAACCGGTCACTTGATCTACAAGCTTGGTGGCATTGACAAGCGTGTGATTGAGAGGTTTGAGAAGGAGGCTGCTGAGATGAACAAGAGGTCATTCAAGTATGCCTGGGTGCTCGACAAGCTCAAGGCCGAGCGTGAGCGTGGCATCACTATTGATATTGCTCTCTGGAAATTCGAGACCACCAAGTACTATTGCACTGTCATTGATGCCCCTGGACACCGTGACTTTATCAAGAACATGATTACTGGTACCTCTCAGGCTGACTGTGCCGTTCTCATCATCGATTCCACAACTGGTGGTTTTGAAGCTGGTATCTCCAAGGATGGTCAGACACGTGAGCATGCTTTGCTTGCTTTCACTCTTGGAGTCAAGCAAATGATTTGCTGTTGCAACAAGGTTAGAAAACTCACAAAGCATATTCGTGCATTTTTGTTTTGCTGATTGCCACCTTCTACATGATCTAAATGTAATTATGTAATTGGTACATGCAGATGGATGCAACCACACCCAAATACTCCAAGGCTAGGTATGACGAAATTGTCAAGGAAGTGTCTTCTTATCTTAAAAAGGTTGGGTACAACCCCGACAAAATCCCTTTCGTGCCCATTTCTGGATTTGAAGGTGACAACATGATTGAGAGATCCACCAACCTGGACTGGTACAAGGGTCCGACCCTCTTGGAGGCTCTTGACTTGATTAATGAGCCCAAGAGGCCATCAGACAAGCCTCTCCGTCTTCCCCTTCAGGATGTCACAAGATTGGTGGAATTGGACCTGTCCCAGTTGGTCGTGTAGAGACAGGT